ACGTATTCTTCTTGCTGCCGATTATCCTAATCTAGTTGAACTTAAACTCTTTAATTTCAATGATAAAATCGTTTTACATTATTTTAGAAGTAAAAAAGTTTCATGCTGTTCTGGGCATAGATTTTAATAGAAATGTCGTAAACACTGCACAATATTTTATTGTTTTTTTTTATTTAGGTGGATCACCATTTCGTCACATTTTTCAACAACAAATTACAGATCTTATTCTTGTATACAAAAGCGATATTGACGTTTTATTAGAGACACCATGCCATAATGGTGTGCACGGATATATTTTGAGATTCTTCAAAAGTCTAAAACATTTGTCTATTACTGGATTACATTCAGTTTTATCACTTGATTATTCACCTTCAACTATCTGTTCTTCTTCAATTCTTTACAAATTATCTGTTTTTGTGAATAATTTTGGAGATTGCCTTGCTCTACTTGATGGTCGTCTCAAACAGCTAACGACGTTTATTGTTAATATTGGCAACATAGTTTATAATTCATCAGTTGTTTACAATATGGTAAGTTTCTGTATTATTAGATTAATTTTTTTAAATTAAAACAATATTATAGATTGCTTCCTAATGAATTACTATTCGCTTGAATCAGTTATAATTAAATAGTTGTAAAATTGTGCTGATCTATTCGATGAGTGAATATAGAAAATTTTGTGTCTTATACATTGCCCTATATAAATTGTTTTGAAGATTATAAATCGAGTGATTGAATTTCATTTGAATAAACACTGTTAACTTTTGATGCCTATTGGATTTAGTCATACTATACTTTTCTCTTGTCAAAAATGATTTTTAAAATATAAGACTAATAATGTTTATGTTCAGGTATTTTTAAGATATTTGATTTTTCGAGAACTGGACAAAAGACCAAACTTATTTCGATCTAATTTTTTTATCATAGCTATAAACAATCTTTATTTTCTTTACTTTTATTCATTTACATTGTTTTATAAAAATAGCATACTTGATTTCAAATTTTTGAGTTTTTTCATCAATATCGAATTATCTCTTATGTACTAAAAGTTTAGAAAATTCTATACATTTGTTTTAGTTATCATTGCAGAAGACTGTATATATTATTGAGTTGAAGGAATATTTAAAATTGAATTAAATAGAAATATAGCTTTTCGATCAATTATTCATCTGAACTTTTTGTTTTATAGTCGATAATGATATATTTAAAAATGTTGATTTGTATTTTTTAGGATGATCTATCTAATTTGAAATGTTTCTCTTTAACGTGCCGTTGCTTTACTGATGAATATGATACTCAAATTTTACCTCTTCTTCGTCGTATGTCAAATCTTGAAGAATTAGCTTTGAGTATTATTAACCAGAATCGAACTACATTTGTCGATGGTACTCAGATTAATAATGAAATTCTTGTTCATATGCCACGGCTTTATAAATTTGATTTTAATATCAATACCGAAACTGCACTGCATCATTTAGTTCATTATTTATCAAGCGATGATATTCAACAAAGTTTTATTAACATAGGATATCAACACGTGGGCTGTATTCTATACTACATCACTAGTAGTGCTATATGTCATGTTTTTTCACTACCATTCATGTTTGATTATCTCGAATTTATCGGGAACACATTTCCACCGATTATTTTCGATCATGTTACAATGCTGGTTCTGAAAGATATCGTTCCATTCAAACACGAATTTTTCATCCGAATTGCTCGCTCTTTTCCTTTGCTTAAAAGATTAAGTCTTATTAATTCTGAATCACAGTCACAAATATCAAATAATTGGAACTCTAATGATAATCAATTGTATTCAATTGTTGAATATCCTTATCTTATTTCGCTTCGTATCTGGTTGTCTCATATTGATTATGTCGAGCAGTTTCTCAATGAAACAAAAACACATCTACCTCATTTAACTAAATTAAAAGTCGATTATGATCAATTAGCAGTCGTAACAAACAACTTCACAAGAGATACAACACGGCTCAATTGTGCTAAAGTGAAACAATTAATTATTGAAGAAACACTAGTGCATTCAAAAGATTTTTACGTTTATTTTCCTCTATTGTAATCTTGTTTGTGTTTTGATTAGGTTAATAAAATAAAAAATAAAAAGATTTTAATATTAATTAGTTTTCAGTCTAATAAGAGCAAACAATAATTATTAGTCGACATGTAGAAGTCAACTGCTACGAGATTTTAACTAATTCTTACTAGTACAGGAGCTAAGCGGGATGAATCATCGAATCAATATAAAAAAATAATAAATCGATCCCAGTAACACGAAAGAAAAAAAAATGAAGAAAGGGAAGATGAACAAGCATGGAAGAATGATGATTCAGCAAATAAAAATAAAATTGAAATCGAAGAATATGACGATGAAGATTAAGGGTGTGGAAGTGAGTGCGGGTGTGTGGGTGTGAATAATCGTTCCAGTCTACACCCACATCCCATACTAGAGCCCATCGGGTCCAAGAATTTTCGGACCCGACCTAATCGAATTAATTTTTGATGGGTCCGGACTTGAACTGTACTCTTACTCCTCTTAATAAAATTTTCTAATCTGATTTTGATTGTCGCTCTGAAGATGTGATATGCTTTTCATTTTTTTTCTGTTACATTACTAGTATACGTAGGGGACTCAGTTCATATTTACTTCCAACTTAATTCATGCG